TTAGCCATGTGGGAACCCAGCGCCTTAACCTTCATGCCCCCTGCGGGCGCACTCTGCTGGGATTTACCTCCAGCCTCTGCCAACATGGATCATGGCAGGTGTCCTGCTTGTGCCTGAGGTGTCCAGGGAACCCTCAGGACATTGTCTGGGTCGGCCCCATATGGGCCCAGTATCATGAAGTACCACTGCTGTGCCCCTGACAGGCCTGTGATTGTCCTAGATGTCACCATGGAAACGCCATCTTCTTTTGAGTGTCTTGTATTTGAAATTTTATTCTAGCTGTGGAATTGTGGAATTAGCCTCATGTGAGGTCTGACATAAAGAGGCCATTATTATAAATGGAACTCCTCTCACTTACTAGAGGTTCTTCTTCCACTCCTGGCCTAAGGAATCTCCTGACCTGTTAACCCATCCTTACTGGAAACTAATTAAATTAATTGGCTGGGCACTCCAGGGATCTCACAGAGGCTGGGTTCAGAAGGTCTAGGTCCAAATGAATTAATATTCACCTAAAAGCCTGCTCACTGTCAGTCTGCAGATACTCTTGGGCCACAGCCATGTCCTTCCCTGGCCACATGGCTAAGGTCACTGACGTTACTAATCAGAATTATTCTGCACTAGAACTAAATTATTTCAAGACGCCAGAAAGAGCTAAATCTCTTTTATGTCCTTTATCTCTCCTTATATTTCCTACCTTCCCCATACCTCTCTCCCTCTGTCCTTTCCCTCCTCCCTCCCTTTTTCCTTCCTTTATTTATTTCATCATCTTTCTTCTCTAATTATTTCTTTCTGTGATTATTTTTCTGCCTGTGCTTTGTGCGTCATATTCAAGAAATTATCAATATTTGTGGTCGCGAAGTTTTCTCCAATGTTTTATTTATTTACATTTAATCACGGTACGTATTTAGCGTATACCATGGCTGTCCCCAGCACAAATACGAGCATATCAGTCTTGACAGACATTACCGTACATAGTATCATCAACAAATGAGTTCATTTTTGTGCCAATTGAATGAGCTTTTCCCCTGGTTTTCTTCTAATATTTCTACAGCTTTAACTCTTACGTGTTGTTCCTTGCTCCATTTCATGCTGCAAGTGGATATTGAGTTTTCTCAGCAGCGTTTATTGCAGACTGTTTTTTCCTCATCGATGGACTTGACCTCTGTGTTGAAAACCATGCAGTCGTATATGTCAGTGTTCACTCACGGGGTCTCTGTTCTACTTCATTTTTCTATATTTCTGACTGTTTACATGTCATTACTACTCTGTGTTTTAAGCTTTATTTATTTTACTTTCTATAGCCAGGGGGCATGTGCACTTGTTGGAGGGGGGAGCACCCCCTATTTGGCATTGTTACATCACTAACCTTTTTCTTTTTTTTATTTATTAATTATTATTTATTCATTTGTTTATTTCAATTTGACCAGAGAGGGACAGAGTGAGAGAGAGAGAGAGAAAATGAGAAAGCAAGCCTCCAGGTCCAGGACTCAAACCACGGTTGGCCTTGTGGGAATCCAGCGCCTTTAACCACCATGCCACCTGCCGGCCCCCTCACTAACCTGTTTCTTGCATTTCCCCTTCTGTCAGGATTTC